ACTAAATTAGAAAAGGACACAAAGAGGCTAACTACCTCTTGTCTATAAATAAGAGGCCATGGTCCTTGGGTCACATATTGATAGTCACTCTTAAAGTATCTCATCTCTCTTGAGTAAGTTATTGGACGACTCATTTGTGTTGATCAAAAGGTCATCTTCGTACTAATGCCTTCATGGATTGATGTATGACTTTAATTCATTCTCATTATATTTTATCATTCTTTATTTATCTCAACACTAGATCCTTCATATCCAACATTTCTCACTATAGTAAAAATAGAGACCCTACATTCATTTGGCTTGAATCTCTGCTGCAGGTAAATTGACTCTCTTCATTGCGGCATTAGATGTAGCCACAGAGGGCACCAAAGGACCACGAGGCCCATTGCGGCATTACCTATCCTCAAAAAATTGTTGACTCCGGTGGACCATGGATGCCTCAACTCCAGGTCGAGAATCTGAGAATCTGTCAATCTTGAGATTCTTGCTTTTGTTGATTTTCACCTTGACTTTCTAGGCGGCTTGCATAATATCTTCCGGTCTTACTGGATTTATTGCACATACTTCAGCTTGAATCTCTGGCTGCATCCTTGCTCTAGTTGCAGTCCCTTCACGAAGGCCCCTTCCAGTCCTCCCGAATGTGTTGTAGTCCTCCTAACATCAATACTCATTGACAATCCTCTATTGAGTAAGCTCCATAAACCATTTGCAACGAATGTTAGATTGAAGAAATTGAATCGGGTCAAGAGTTGTTCTTTAAGCTCTTCCCAGCTCCAGAAGGACCTCTAGTCATCTGCCTTTGGAACCAGAGGAGAGCACAACCATCCATGCTAAGGCTCGCCTTTGCCAGCTTCTCTAAGCATGTCAGTTTGTAAGTGGCGAAATACAGTTCAGCTCGGAGGACCCACCCATCCGAGTTAGTTCCACTAACCTTCTTCTTTGAGCCTGAAACTCACCTGGAATAAGGTGGGGGGAGGGGGGGGAGAGGTACGGTGGTTGTAGGCAGATGTCCTCCTCGTATCCCCCTGTTTTCCAATGCTCCAAATGGGAGAATCCCTTGCTAGACTCTACAGCTTCTTTTTCCTTCCCATTTTTTTTCTCCTAGCGGAGCAGCCTCTCCATGAATCGGATCAACATCCCAAGTTGTTGTCAAAGCTTGCTCGATCACTTTTAACCTCCGCACAAAACTCGGCTTGTTTGGTCTTCAGCTCCAGCCGAAAACTAGTTATCTTTGTCTACTCTCGAAAGATGTTGTGGCGGACTTCCTCCATTTCCTTTTTCAGGGTTTCTCATTTGGGATCAGTTGGCTTTGGCCCAATGAGGAATCGAGGCGACTTAGCTCTGATATTAGTTGATGCAAATCCAACGACGGGAGTGTAACAGACGCGATGGTTAATAGAAAATCGGTCCTTCTAACATCAAATAAACTCTACGAATAGAGTTTTATGGTAAGAGAAAGGGAGTGACAACATATCAGTGGGAAATGAGTGTGGAAGAGTAGGGATGGCAAGAATGAAGAGGGATAACTAGAGGAACTCCAAGAGTCCTCCAGGTAGCTAATTGGAGATTGCTATTCTCCTTTTCTCCTAGCTGGAGCCTAGACTCGATCAATCTTCTTCTCCCCCTCTCCCGTTCTCTATAGACGGTCAGATCACATGTTGTGTACGAGTCTGTGACTGATTCTGACCCGGCCGTTCATGCAACTACTTTGGTTTGGCTCGGTTTGTTCCGGGCTAGCCTTTCAACCATTTCTGCCCAACGGTTCTCCCATCTCTGAATGGCGGTGCTCCCATCTTTGTCTATGGGGGAGAGAATCTGTGATCAGAGCCTCAACAGGACACAGTGAGGTTGCTGTCTAGTTATTTCTGTGAATATCAGCCTGAGTGTCCATGGACTACACATGTTCCATCATGGTGCGAGGGTAGGTGGGAGGGTTTGCATTTGGGACTTCCACGAGGTTGGGTGAAGACGAAGTCTGGATGGTTGAACCAAGAGAACAGAGGAATGTGGGTGACACCTAATGACGAAATATGGATAGCGATATTTGCATAAAAACCCCATTTAAAGTGATGCCATGGTATGTTGTCTATGAATCAATAATAGATAAAATCTCACATAACCAACAATGAAAATCTTAAAACAAAATAATTTTGCAATACAAAAGTGCATTCACAACAAACTGTTGAATAATCTCTAATTTTGGTTTGAAGTAATCACAATTGATATACATGGTTGGGTGTTTGTCTTGTGTTTCCTTCCTACAGGGTTTTCAGGTGCACTCTACATTGGAAAGAAGCATTTATCTACAGCAGTTTTCATTCACAAGTAGTCGAGCGCATGGACACATCAGCTTAATCTTATTAACACTATTGTTCATTTTTTTTGTCATGAACATATATTCATTTGGAGAATTCTTGATAGGAGACCACCATTTTCTAGCATAATTTTATTAATTCACTTGATATACATGGCTCAATCAGAAGTATTGAATGTGAAGCTACGTTACAATCCATAAAATTTTGCATAGATGATTGTGTGTACTTTCATATAATAGATGATTAATGTATTCAGTCAATTTTCAATTCACTTTCTGGTCAAAGGTAGACTTATTTGAAAACATCTATACCTTACTCTTTATTCTTGATAGATGGGTTGAAATTTTCTTTGAAAAAATCTAGGTAAATGAAGGAATAAAGAGCACAATGTATGGTGAAGAAATTCACAAATCTATTAGAAAAGTTGTTTTTCTTATCACACAAATATTAGTAAAACAAAATGCCATTTATTTTTGCTATTTGAATCCAAGCATAGGAATGATAATGTATTTTTCTTATTGTCAAATGATATATATAATCATTATGACTCTAATTTTAAAAGTTTTGTAGGATTCGTCTATTTACAAGAATTTGTAAACCCTTGTCATTTATGTGCTGAAGTAACTTATGAAGTTGGAAGCATAGAATATTGAATAGAAAATGCTAACATAATATTTTTCATGGTAGCCTAAAATAGGAACATGATAAGTAGATCCAAGAAACCGATTCTTCTATTCTTACAGCCTAAAAATGTGATAGATATGTCTAACTTACCAATTATTTAATCATCTAAACTACCCTCTTTGCCTATTCCTTTTTTTTTTTATGTTGAACCATTAAAAACTTGTGATTGTCTCATGTATTGCAAACTGAAACATTCCATTTCTCTGGTCAAAAGTTGTAAATTAACTGCTAAAAAATATTAGAAGTGTGTCCTTCCCACTCTAAAAAACATAAAAAATATATAAAATGATGGGTAGTAGTGTAATATTTGTTCTATATGGAATATAACTCATGAAATTACGTGTGATTGTATATAGTTTGGGGTTCAAAATCCCCTCGACTTTGTTCATATTCATTATACTAAAAATGTATGTCGATTTAAATAATGCGAATCAAATTGAAAAACGGCGGAGGAGGGGGGTCTATCAGAGGAAATGGGAAGAAAGAGGTTGTAGGACACCGTCATGTAAGCGGAGAGGTTTCCATAAGAGAAGCTAAACTAACGAGAGAGAGAGACAGAGAGAGAGAGAGAGAGAGGGATGTGAGTCACAATCACATGGCCAGACAAATCACTCACTGGAACCCTGACCCAGCTTGAATTGACATCGATCTATGGGCCTATTTGACGACCAAGCTCATCTTTTGGTCATACTAAAATACCATTTCTATTCAAAAATTCCCAGCCACTTTCTTTCTTTGAGAAGTTAAGGCCGCTGCTTATGAGAATCCCATTTGTGGTTCTCGTCCTCTGCTGAATCGAGAGAGAGAGAGAGAGAGAGATGGATGACGATCCCTTGCTCCAGTCCTATTGTAGCCTTTGGAATGGGAGCCTCAGATTGAGGAACTAGGCTCCTATCATTCAACGGCCAGCAGCCTCTTGAAGGCTACTTCTACTATACTAAGCCGGGGTCCCACCCACTGGGCCTCCACAAAATAAATAAAAAAGTCCTCTGTCCAATACTGAATTTCACAATTTTAGAGAAACCAGGTTTTTTCTTCGTTTCTTTTCACTTTTTCTAAAATGTAACGAAGACCAAAAATCTCAACCGTTGATCGAAGCCCTGGGATGCCGATCAACTGTGGGACCCGCAGTTAAATTATCCACCACGCAGCTCGCCGAGGCGAGCCGCCGCCCGAGAATCGCTTTTAAACACGTGGCAAAGATCATACAAAAAACAAATGAGCGGCTGAAAGTAAAATATTGAAAATTAATTAATTGGAGAGAACCTGTGAACTTAACCCCCCGCCAGCGTGGCTCTCGTGGCGGATCGACTGGCGGCCAGACCGTTTGGGGACCCACAAATGAGAAAGGAGAAACTAAGGGACAGCAGGTGGAGGCGGATAACGGCCCCTCGAATAAGAAGAGGAGGGTGACACGTCGGTCGCTTAAAAAAAAAAGGCGGCACGTGACGAGGATCCCCGTCAGCAGCATCCGCCTCCCTGTTGCGCGTTGTGAATGTGGTGGGGAGGGAGAGAGAGAGAGAGAGAGGGAGGGAGCTCACCTCCGACAGGAGGATCGACGGATGCCGGCGGGACGAGGTGTCGTTTAGCCAACAGATTTAGCAGTAACTGGAGAGAGAGAGAGAGCTGGGGGGTAGAGAGGGGGTCGGGGAGCATGACCTAGGCGGCCACTTCTTTTTATCCGCATTCCCCGCTTTTCGTTCGTATCTATCCGCATCGGTTCCCCTCTTCATCGTTTCGTCTGCTTCTCTCTTTGCCCCTTCTTCTCCGGATTCGGGGGAAGGCTGTTTACCTCGAGAGATATCTCCCTTGCGCGGCGGAGATAGAAATCCCTAGTAGCGGGAGTTGTTCCAAAGGCTACCTCTTCAGTTCTAGGCGGCGAGGTCCGGTTCGCGAAGCTGCCCCTCATTGTTCCTGCACGGAGAGGCGTAGCCAGATCGTAGAAGGCCTTATTTTGTTCATCACCCGATTCTTCTTCTCCCTCTCCTCCTCTTCTCCGAAATGGCGGTTAGTTTGAGGGAAGGCTTCTGCGTCTCCAGCTCTAGCGCTCTGGCGCTGGACAAGAAGAAGACATTGATCGGAGGATCGACCACCTCACTGGAGCTCTCCTCCTGGAAGAACGACTTTATTGTCAAGCAGGTGGTGCTCAGGGATCAGCAGGCGGGACGAGACATATCTGTGAGCGAACATACATCTGTCTATTCCATTACATATACATATATATAGATATATATATCTAAGAATCACTTTCCTAGTAGCAATGGGATAAATGATCCGGAATCCATTTTCTGTTTCTCTTTGTCCTGTTCTGTAACTTAACCTAACCTTAAGTCTCCTCGCGATTCAGGCTCAGAATTTCTCCATTTACTTCCCCCAATCGACGAGATGGTGGGATAAAGGAGAGATGCAGAATATGATAGAAATCGGTTCTGCACAGGAGCTTGTGGATACTCTCATGAACGCCGGGAACAGGCTCGTCGTCCTCGACTTCTACTCCCCTGGCTGCGGGGCCTGTAGAGTCCTGCATCCAAAGGTGTGTAAGACCATCATCGGCGTGGCACATCGAACATCCAAAGGCGACGACCTGAGATTTGTTATTTCTGCTACTTGCCTCCAGATATGCCAGATTGGCGAATCGAATCCGGACGCACTGTTCCTCAAGGTCAACTACGAGGAGCACAGATCCTTGTGCTGCAGCCTCAACATCCGTGTGCTGCCATTCTTCCGATTCTACAGAGGACCTCAGGGTCGGGTCTGCAGCTTCAGCTGCACCAACGCCACCGTAAGCCCCCCTATAGAATGACGACTTCCATCGCATCTTACCGATTTCTATATATATTCTTCCTGACTGGTGATATCTGCTGCCGTTGAATCATGTTCAGATCAACAAGTTCAGAGATGCAATGGCGAAGTACGGGTTGGGGAGGTGCGGCCCCGGCCCCTCGAAAGGTCTGGAGCAGACGGAGTTGCTGAAGTTGGCTCTAGCGGGGATCTTGTCTGCGTCAACCATCCATTGACGACAATCCGGATTCGCCATGGCAGAGGGAGAAGAAGAACAGAAGATACTTCTCGGAGCGCGGAGATGATCGATCGATCATTGTCCATGATTGAGTTCGGTCAATAAAAGAATCAGTATCGAAGGTGGAAGACCGGCTCCTTTTTGTTCATACGTTCATCTCCGGCTGTAATGTCCTTATTTCTTATATTTATTATTATTATTATTATCTATTATCTGTTTCCTACTAGCGGCTCATAAGCCCATTAGGCCCATATCGGAATCCCAGACTCTGCATGAAAATACGTCTCGTCCGCCCGTACGACGAGCGGCCGGGCCCAAAGGTAAAACTTTCCTTCGCTGAAGCATCCATGAATCTAACGTCGGCCATCTGACTTGGCATCTGCTCGGCCGATGTAAGCAGACGTAAAGAAGATCACTTCTCAGACGGATAAGGACGCTTGCGTGGCTTCGACGTGGTCCACAAGTTCCTCTGGGTTCTCCCTCTCTGTGACTGCGTATGCGTGTATGTGCGCCTGCTCGGCCTATTGGGACCAAGTGTCCATCCTTATTATGTCGATAAGGAAACCCTTGCTCATTAACAACACCCCCCCCTGAAAATCAAAGGAACCGCATCTACATAAACAGATGGGCATAGTTTTAATCATTTTATAGGTACATATCAATGGAATTTTTCTAAATGTGTGAACAGCATATTGTGCCATATTTTGAAATGTTTTATGCCATATTCTTTTGGGTGCAGGTGTGCCTAATTTTTGAAAGAATTGGTACACATTTAGATTGCACTAATTTTGCTTGTGATTAGGAAATATTTACATAAGACCTTCTTGAGTGTCAAATGTATCTAATTTGGGAATTAGATTTTTTCTAATTTAAGTACAAAGTTTTAAAAAAGTTTTTACGAAGTGCAATCTCATTTAATGTGGATCCAGAATTGAGTATATGAGAGCCTAAAAACTTTTGTTTTGATTGGATTTCATCACATGTTATATTCTCATTCATCAAATATATCAACATATAGTGGATACGAGTAAAAGGTGAATTATACTTTTTAATCAACTATAAAATAGGAAAATATTGTTGTTACCATAAAGTGGGGGAATTAAAATGTTACATTTCCATTAAGTCCCATTTAATATTGGGATTCTAAATATCATTTTTCCGGACACTTGAGAACCTTTTGTTAGACAAATGTGTACTGAAAACTACATGCAACTTGTCATTTTCCTCTCACTTTCTTCTAACTAATTGGGAAAATGAAAAGTAAAAGCTTGTGTTATAATAATTTGTTATTGAAAAACACTAGAAACACAAGAATTGAAGATAAATAAGAGAAGACAATATGAAATACAAAACAAAAATGTTTATTATTGAATAATCACTTATTCAACATATCTTGTTTCATGAGAAACTCCTATTTGGGTTGTGCTTATTAATCTAGTTTGTATCAATCTAAGATGTGTATGCTCTTTGGAACATTTAACTAAGCTCTTGAAACTAAATGTGAGAAATCATGCCAAGTTGATAACAACTATACAAAGATGTTTATAGATCCTGTTCCTAAATTGTATTTTTTGATCAACAAATTTTTATAAAAAAATAAAAAAATAAGATATTTTTTACATATTCACTTGGATGTATATTGTAGCCATCTACAACTAAAATGCTTTGATTGAGACCCAATAATATATAGATAAATCCATTCTAACATGCACTTTAACTATGCATCAATTACTTAACTTGTCAACTTCTAAACATTCACCCACCTTCTTGGCATGATTTCGTTTTGCACCCCATTTAGACTTTTTTATATTTACAACCAATTTCTAGGGTGCCTAGCCCTCGAATTTTGAGTGTTTAAAAATATCTGTATGCTGCGATACATTAATCTAGCTTGACTGAATGGAACTCTTCCATAATTATTCATGTGCCTCTACATAAGAATAATAAATATATGTAACATTAAGCATAAAATTTATACATATATTATCTAATAAATTAATAAAATATGTAATATCATGATCTTCTTCAAAATTCTTAACGACCCATTCTTCTTTAGTAACAACTTTGTTATAAGTATCAATTCATAATTTGTCTTCTTGCAAGTATATCGTAATTAAATCACCATCTTCAAAAATCTTCTTTTGCCCTTTCTAATCAGCCACCTTCTTCTAGTTGGTGTAATTGGCTAAAAGACATTTCTTGATGCTTTTGTAGAATACTTTGATATGATCTATTATATTGTCAGTTGTAATCCCCGTTCTTCTAAAATTTAGTAAATGCACAAGATCTAAAAGAGACATTATAGTTAGTGGAGTGATTGATTATTGAATTGTAAACAATCTAAAAGTATAATCTCATTCTTTTGATTTATCTCCTCAAATAGAGAAATCCAAATTGGCTAAGGTCATATTTAGTGCCTCAGTTTGACCATCTATTATCATTAAAGGAGGACAATGAACGTAAGGAAGAGAGACTTTCTATCTACTTATTTCCCACTTAATTGATGCCTTTGACAAGAAATGTAAATGGCTTACATGAAAGAAACTATTGCTAGTAACATTCATTCAACAATGATGGGATAACATTTTCACATCATTGTCATGATTCTTCACCAATGCATAAGGAATTTTAAGACTAACAACTAAACAGGTCTAAGCTCTATACTCAATGAGGCTTCAAATTAAAAATGTATGCCTTTCTTTCGTTATTTCTTAAATCATAGAGTATTATCTATTGATAGTAATCAACTACTAAAAGCAAATATTAGGTGTATGCAAGTTGACCTGGAGCCTTAAATATAAATATATAAGCAAGCTATTGCTTTGATTATGAACATTTGTGCTAACTAGATACCAATGAAACAATGGGCCAGTGCCCTCATAAGAGTGAGCTAAATGAGGGGTATAAAACCATTACAAAATTATATTATTTTTTCTATTCACCTTGTCCTAGAGATCTACCAAAACCCAAAATTCAATATAATCTAAGAAAATCAATTCATCCTCCATCCACCCTCATCTTGGGTAACTTCAATTTTTGTTAGGCTACCTTTATTTTGTTTTAATTTTTTTATGTTTATTAGGGGTGCATAAACAAAGTAAGAAAGATGAGAAGATCTAAAAAAGAACAGAATCCGATTAAACCTTAATAAAGCACATGAACAAAATGTAGAAAAGTCTTTAGTTTTAGTAATTGCCCTATTTATATGAATGTATTTTCTAAATTGATCCGATTTTTAGGGGCATCACAACTAATTCTAACCCTATTTAGATGGAGCTGCATTTTACCTAATACATCATGATTATAACGAATTTTCATTATTTTGATAGATTTTTCATATGCTTTCTGATACAAAAAGTTATGAATTAAAGGGAGTTATTTTGATCCTTGTAGATTCAAGAGCATTTTTCTTACCCTCATGGATTCAAGAAGGCTTAAAATTCTATTTTCACTACTGTTTCTGAATTACATTATCACTTGAACTTAAAATTGATAAAACTGTCGAATTTGATGATCAACTTTTGATGCATCTTGAATTAAAGGAAACCTTTGACATGATGTGACCCATAGTAAAAACAAAAATATATTATTCATATAATTTTACATGGATTTATCTTCCAAAGATAGATAGATACTAACATCCTGACGAAAAGCTGGAGAATGTTTAAGAGTGTTTCATGATTGACCTAAGCTTGTATATGTGATCTACAAATTCACGATAATAGTTAATAAAAATCAGGTGTAAGGATAGCTAGGGAGAGGAAAAGGGCTCAATCATGACGGAAAAAGGGAAATTCTATCCTGACAAAGAATGTATTAGGCATAATGGCCAAGTTTGGCACCACAACGAGGGGCTAGAGAGAAGGGACAAAACAGCGTTGAAAGAGGTCTGTACTGGGCCGGCCCAGTCAAGTTTAAATGGAGCCCATTCTACGAGGCTCCGGTCACAGCCGCCCATGACCCCTGGGCATCGCTAGCTTGGATGCCTCTGCTCCCCGCTCCCCTCTTCACCAAACAGCGATGCCTCACCCTCCTGGCCGCAGCCGCCTCTGCCGAACGGCTCCGGCTGCTCCACGCCCTCTTCGAGACTTCTGGGATCCTCGAAGGGGACAAGTTCCTCGCCAGCGAGCTCATCCGCGCCTTCGCCCTGTTCCCCTCCAGTGACGGCGCCGACCACGCCCGGCTCCTCCTCAACCGCCTGCCCGGACCCTCCACCGCAGCCTGGAACCACGTCATCAGGGGCTATGCCCGCGGGTGCTGTGTCCTGCGGCGGAGAGACAGCGTGGGGGTCTTTCTCGAGATGCATCGCTGGGGACGGCCGTTGGCGAGGCCCAACGAGCTAACCATTCCCTTCGTCCTCAACGCCGCCGCGGGGCTGGCAGACCTCGAGCTGGGGAGGCAACTCCACGCCGGAGCTCTGAAGGGCGGCGTGGGAGCGGTCGTCTACGTCGGCAATGCGCTGATCCATCTCTACGCCCGCTGCAGCCAGCTTGCAGAGGCCCGGCAGATCTTCGACGAAATGCCTGCTCGAACTGTGGTCTCATGGAACAGCATGTTATCGGCCTACACCGAGCGCTCCTGCCTTGATGAGTCTTTGCAGCTCTTCGTCTGGATGAGGCGCGCCCGATTCGAGCCCGACGAGACCACGTTCGTTGTCCTGCTCTCCGCAGCCGCCGAGACCAGCAACTTGGGCCTAGGGAAGTGGGTTCATGGTCGCCTGATCGAGACAGCGGTGGCCATGAATGTGCAGCTCGGGACGGCGCTGGTGGACATGTACGCTAAGTCGGGGGCTATCCGTTCCGCCCGCCGGGTCTTCGAAAGAATGTCGGAAAGGAACGTGTGGACGTGGAGCACGATGATTCTGGGGCTCGCGCAGCATGGGCTAGCCAGCGAAGCCCTCGAGCTCTTTGACACGATGAAAAGGACCCCCGTGGAGCCCAACTGCGTGACCTTTCTCGGCGTCCTCGCCGCCTGTAGCCACGGGGGCCTGGTGGACGACGGCTACCGCTTCTTCCGTGAGATGACACGAGAGCACGGTATCCCGGCGAGAATGGCGCACTACAGCGCCATGGTCGACGTTCTTGGCCGCAACGGTCGTTTGGAGGAGGCCTACGCCTTCGTGGAGAGCATGCCCATCGAGCCGGACGCGGTGGTGTGGAGGACATTGGTGAGCGCCTGCAGTATCCACAGCGCCGCCGACTGCGGCGGCGTGGGCAGCCGCGCGCGGCGGAGGCTGCTGGAGCTGGAGCCGGAGAGGATCGGCAACCACGTTATTGTCGCGAACATGTACGCGGAGGCTGGGCTCTGGGAGGCGGCGGCGGAGACGAGGAAGGTGATGAGGGATGGGGGCATGAAGAAGATGCCCGGCGAGAGCTGTATTGCAGTGGGTACCTCGGTGGCGAGGTTCGTCTCCGGCGATGACGCCCCCCAAGGCCACGACCAACTCTGCAGCCTGCTCGCTAGCCTCAGCCTCAACACGAGAACAGAGACCCGGAGCGCCACAGATTGCGTCGACCTGTTTCTCATCGGGTGATCGATCCATTTAATTCAACGAAAGTGACTATTCAGCCCGAATTAGAGTCATACGTGTCCGAACAGTCAAATAGAGAGAAGGCAGACATAGCTTCCAGGTTTCGATGAACAGGGTCTGTCCAGCTGGATACTCGAGTATCTATTTGTTTTTGTTTATTTATATGATAAAAAATCTCAATAACAGATAGTTTATGCAATCATATTTCTTTCATGAAACCCAAATTATAACATAAAATACTCATTTTTGAGCCTCACCTTTTACCAGTGCAACTCCAAAAAGTTATGCTGGCAAACAGTGTTTGCATGAATTCTTTAATATTATGGAAAATATATTTAACAAAAACGAAATGGGGTACTAACTTCGGTTTCAAGCAGAGGCACTTTCTCGAGTAAGAAGTCTGGCTTATGATGTGTCTGGGCCAGTTAAGAATACTCAGCGTGCCAAATAACCTTTTTTAGGAAAATCCTCAAGCAAAGGCTCTCCCGGATAGACATTTTCTAAAAATGGAGGATCTCATAGATTTGTAGATTGATTATATTAAATATTTCAGTCGTGAAGTGAGCTGAAATCAGAGGAAACCTGTCTGATGGGACTCGGGAAAGAATTGTTGGACTCTGTGTCAGGTGCCATATAGCTTACGATGAATGAGGTTGAATGCAGGGGAGATCTCCTGCATGGGTCTCGTCTCTGATGGCCCGGCTGCAGCTGTCCGCCGTCGCGAGGATCTCCAGGGCGAGGGGGTGCGACTTGTCCCCAGCGGCGAAGACATGGAGGCCGCTCTGCAGCTCAATCCAGCTGTAGCCGGCTTGCTTCCGGATGCCCTGCTGCTCCATGGCCTCCCTCACCTCCGCAGCCTCGGCCCATCGCCCCACGCCGGCGTGCATGTTGCAGAGAAGAACGTACGGCGCCGAGCCCGCGGGGTCGACCGCCGCTAGGGCCGCCATCGCTATGCGCGCGAGCTCGTCGTTCCTGTGCACCCGGCAGGCGCCGAGCAGTGCGCCCCAGACGGTCCTGTCGGGCGGCACGGGCATGCCGCCGACTATCCCCATCGCCTCCTCGAGCCGGCCATGTCGGCCGAGGAGGTCCACCAGGGCTGCGTAATGCTCGACTCGGGGGTCAATGCCGTGGTCGCGAGCCATGGAGTCGAAGCACTGTCGGCCTTCCTCCACCAGCCCACCGTGGCAACAGGCGTGGAGAACCGATATGAAGGTGATGTGGGTGGGCCGCACCTCCTCCTCCATCCGCGAGAAAAGTCGGAGGGCCTCCTCGGCATGCCCGTGCTGGGCGTAGCCGCTGATGATGGCGTTCCAGGAGACGACGTCTTTTCGCGTCGTCATCGAGTCGAACGTCCGGCGGGCGTCAGTCAAGCTCCCGCAGCGGGAGTACATTGTGACGAGGGCGTTGTTGATGGGTGTGTCCACCGCCACTCTCTTGGTCACTAGCTGGTGGACCTGGGCGCCCTGGCGGAGGCTCGCAAGGCCCGCGCAGGCACCGAGCGCGGAGGAGAGCGTGTGCCCGTCGGGCGCCACCCCGGAGGCCAGCATGCGGGAGAAAAGACTCATTGCCGCCCTGTACTCTCCCACCCGCTCGTAGCCGGCGATGATGGTGTTCCACGAGATGGCACTCCGGTGGGGCATCCTCTCGAAGCAGCGCTGCGCCCTCTCAACGTCACCGCTCCGGGCGAATCCGGAGATCATCAGATTCCACGTCCTCTCGTCCGGCTCAGGCATCTGCTGCAGCAGAGCCGCTGCCTCATCCAGCTCCTGCGACTGCACGTAGCCGGCGATCATGGTGTTCCAGGAGAATCGGTCCCGCTCGGGCATCTCATCGAACAGCCTCCTTGCCGAGCGGATGCCGCCGGCCTTCACGTAACCCATGATCATAGAATTCCAGGAGACCACATTCCTCTGGAAGCCATTCGCACTTCCTTTCCCATCACGACACCCCGAGGGGATCATCTCGAACAGGCGTCGGGCGTCGTCGACCCGCCCCACCCGGCCGAAGGCGGCGACGAGCGTGTTGTACGCGTCGACGTCACCTTCATCGGCCTTGAGCAGATGTCGCTCCGCGGCTTCCAGCATGCCGTTGCGGGCGAGACCGGAGACAACGGTGCTCAGCGTCGCCGAGTCGCGGATGGGCATCTTGCTCCACATCTCCATGGCCCAGTCGACCTCTCCATTTGCCAGGAGCCCCGTCACGACGGCGTTCCAGGAGACCACATTCTTCACAGGCATTTTCTCGAACAGATGGACTGCGTCTATGATCCACCCGCAGCGCCCGTACCCGCTGATCATTATGTTCCACGAGAAGGTGTCCCGCTCGGGCATGCGGTCGAAGAGGTGGCGGGCATTCTCGATCTGGCCGGTGAGGGAGTACCCCAGGAGCATGGTGTTCCAGGAGACTACATCCCTGCGGGGCATTCCGTCGAACAACTCTCTAGCGCGGACAATCTCCCGGTGGTGGACGTGGGCGGCGAGCATAGTGTTCCACGTGACGACATTGCGGCGGCGCAACTCGCCGAAGAGCCGCCAGCCGTGCTGGAGGCCGCGGAGATGGAGGAGCCGCGCGAGGGCGCTGTTCTGCTGCCGGAAGAACGAGTCCACCTCATCGCTGGCGGCCCCCTCGCTGGCGGCGCTGTCGCTGGAGCAGGTTGACACGGGCTGGGCCCGCGAGGATCGTTCGAGGAAGAGGTAGCGCGTGCTTCTCTCTGCTCTTCTCAGCAAGATCATCCTCTGTCTTCTCGTCGCTGGAAGCTCATTCTTAAATAAAAAGTGAAAAAAATAAAATAATAATGGTATAAATGCTGCGGAGTTCATGGGCTGGCAAGTCGCCAGGGCGTGGCCCATATTTCACGGGGTTGGGCTTCAAGCCCAAAAACACCTGCAAGTTCAGGTTCATCCCGGTGGGGCCCACATTAAAACCATATCGGATCCCATTTTGAACTTTGTTCGAGTCCGGATGGCCGATATTCGTTGATCACATCGTAACGGGTAAGACGAGACTCCGTCCATGACATAGAAACCCTAAACCCATTGTCTCTTTGTCCCTCTCTCTCTCTCTCTCTCTCTCTCTCTCTCTCCTGGATAGGTTCCGCCATGGACTACCTGGAGCACGCGAACGATGGCTGGCTGAAGCCGAGGTTGCTTATGGCACTGGTGAGGGAACGCCTCCCGGACGACAGGAGGCCGCTGGGTGACACCTTCCGTTTCTCCTCTGTCCTCTCCCTCGTGCGGGTTCACGGTCTCCTATCCGAGTCCCATTCCCGTGGGGCGCTAGGGAGAGATGACAAGAAACTGGCTGGTGCGTGGACTGTCGCGGTCGATACTTGGGTGGAGCGCTGCCTCACTTTGTGCCGTAATAAAATGGTAATGTTTACGTTCCAGAGAGTGGTGGAAGTCGGTACCCTTCAGTGTGCTCAATATTATCGGGATGAAGTTTCTCTCCGTTATATGTCGATTCTATTATTCAAAATATCTCGAGACAATATCCTTGGCACACGCTAATTTATAGCGAATTACATTTTTAACGCGGAGATGATTGGACGTACATTATGTACTACATAGTGAAAATATTGTCGGGCATGATAGTTTCCGACCTTTTGTGAATTCGCCTGATGTTGGCTTTTTTTTCATTTTCCTACTTTGGATATGCTGCAGCCAGACAAGTGTTGGACAGGAATCTCCTTGCTGGGTTTTACCTGCGAGTTGTGTGCCTCTGACCGTTTTCTAGCGTCATACCCCACTTGGTTCGAAGCACTTCTGTCAAATCTTCAGGTTGGCCTTCTATCCCTTCCCAGGTAATCTCTTCTATGTTCGTTTGAATGTGTTATTGATCTGTTTCAGTCTCCCACATGGATCTTTTGAGCTCTTGAAAGAATGTTCCATACAATACTGGATTGAAAAGTCTAGCTCCATACACAAAAAATTCCTTGTGAGGATCAACCTCCCAAGAAGGAATGTTCTGTAAAAGGCCTTTTGTTTGATAAAAAATGACCTTCAGAACTCCACCTTCTCGTGTTTTCCTATCCCTTACATCGTAGAAGATCTGGTAAATGCTAGAATTAGTCGATTTATTACTTTAAGGAAAGCCATTATTCTCTACCCTGTTCATAGTCCCTGGATAATGGACATGTATGATTATTATGCACTTCCTGAACAAATAGAAGAACACCAGCATCGCATCAATGAAATAGGGTGAGCATCCTTGTTTTATTCATCTGAACAGTTTTTGCTGGTCAATCCTGTAACGACGTCGATGTTTAGGATAAGGAAACTCGAAAACATGTGAAATGTCCTTTGTTTTTCGATCCAAAGTTGTAAGAGAGGTGATTGAAGAGAGGACCACCATAAACAGGGCTAGATGGTCGAAGAGTACAATTTTATTACCCTCCAAAAAGAATTTTAGATATCAGTGAATGATAAGTTTCTATGAATCATTGAGAGCTCTTTCTTTTGATTACTTTTTTAAAAAAAAATTCTTACAATGAAGAATAGATGATTGCTACTTTCCTTTTGTGTTCTTTACTCACTCTCTAGTTCTTGCTACTTCGACATTTCATTAAGTTGCTCAGTCAAGAGTTCATATTTTTCTTTTGAAAGAAGATAGAATTATGCTAAAAGAAAATCATAATCCTGCTCTGTTCTATTTCATATATGCTTTACGGTTTTCATCTGTTTAAATTTAATGGACTATTTGAGCGGTAAAGAGAGCAAATCATTCTATTCAGTGACACCCAAAAGCTTTTTTCCATAATTATTTACTTTGGATTCAGCATGTATTTTTCTGTCAAACATGACTAATTTTTTAATGTGCTGATAATTTTCGTTTATCCTTGCCTTTTTCCTCTCAAAACAGCCACTGGCAGATTCCCATCTTGTAAAGTTGGCATCTTGTGCATCCATGTCAGACCTTTTCACAAGGTTTGTTTTTAAACATTATATACTTTCTGACGTCCAAGTGGTTTTCTACAACAATTGTGTTGACCAATTTGAATATTCTAGTGTAAAACCAGTCTCCAAGTCATCTATAAGTTGCTCTTGCCATTCTACTAACCTTGTCTTAGTCACATTGATATCATTCTAAAAGTAATCCGTCCTTGCCATTTTTTATAATTTTCTATGTGATTACGTGACAATTAAGACATGAAGAGGATTTACCTTAAATGAATATTTGCTTTTTGAGAAGATTGTCTACTGTACCTGTATTAAATTTCTCTAGATCCAGTTAAGTCTAGCAAAACCGTTGAGGTTTGTGCCATTGTTGCAAGAAGGTAGTTTCATTGATTCTAGCCAGTTTTTCTCCAGCCTTCTTGTCTATTGTGTCAAAGAGATTACTTTATCCTCTGCTTATAGGATGACTAAGGGAGGTAATACATTGATGAACTCTGGAATTCTGGGATTTCCTGAGTGATAAATTGTTGATAAAATGTGTGCTTTTCTAGGTAGAAGTTTAGCATTTTTTAACTTCAGCTCTACATGGCTCTATGTGGTAGAAGTCCAATTAGTGGATGCAAACATTTAGATTTATTTTTCGTTTCTAAAGAAACCTTCTCAATTCAGAATTATGTCTCACCCTATTTAAAGCATACTTATCCAATGGCAATGCAGCGCACTAAAGATTATTTGTTGATTAGGTTGTCCACATTTCCAAATGTGAAGAAAGATGCAACATCTCTTGCGAGTAAACTTGTACTGCCAGTTCTTCAATTGATGAGCGACAATAGTACAGATGCCATATTGGTTAGTGCTTGTTGTTACGTTGGGTTATACTCGTCATCTATTTCCTGTCTCCCAAACGTAGTGTGTGAAAGAATGTACTTCAGTATAATATCCAGAAGTATCGCTCTCTAAAATGTCTTTTTGATAAAATGTTCTAGTGCTTACTGTGCATTTTATGTGAAGGTAGGAGCAGCAGATCTATTAGGCGCCTTCCTGAAGTTCTTCCCATTTTCTCTCCGCCGTCACTATGGAAAGGTAACAAATATCATATTTTATACTCCTAGAATGTAAATTGTAATCCTCTATTAGCAGTGCCTGGAGGTCAATAGTTAGACATTAGTTTTATCTTTTTTTGTTCTTACTTTTTTGATGTGAAACTTTGGGAGATACACGCCATTTAATTCTATCTTTTAGATTTTAATGGATTATCATTTATCAGTTCTGCTCATTTGTTTCCCTAAGCATATCAAATGCATCATTTGTGGATATTTGCTGAAAATTTATTCCCTGATATTGATCAATAAAGTTTTACTGTTTTCTTTTAGTGTAGATCTTTTTACCAGGTTTTATGCATATCTGAAAGGAAAACTGTCTATTTGCTTAGTTCTTATTGCATGTTTTTGTTGAACATGTGAGAACAGTTGCTTCACTTGTTTGTTCCATTTCTATGACCTTGGTGTGGAGTTGGTTTCCATTTCTTTTTTAGACACTTTCATATCGTCTCTCTGCCTGCGTTTTCCATTAATTTTCTGTATCTTTGTGAAATCATTTTGAATGCTTGAAAATAGGTTTCTTGGGTCTTTTTTTTTCCTCATTTTGTTGATTGAAGTGGTTACCGTTTACAGTAATATTCAGCTTTCCCATGTTATCATTCCAGTGTCAGTGAGGAAGAATTATTTTGATCATGTCTCTTGCATAGATCCCTATCCTATGCATGATTAACAATCATTTTTAACAGTACCCTTTTGCAACATATACTCCAACCTGAACGTACAAGTATATGTTCCAAATAACGAAGTAGATCTTGTGAGGAAAATTGTTTAGAGCATCTCCCTCCATTTTGACCTCCTAAATCTTTTTTTAATCTTTCGGTTATTTTGTGGAGAAATGTTTTTGAATAATATCAAGACAGACGTGGAGAGGTTAAAGTATCCACAATCCGTCCTCTACCGTTCCAGTCCTGAGTGATTTAAGACAAAATCTTATTCCCGAACCAACTTTATGAAGAAGGATACATTCAAAACGGGAATAGTGGATTTTAACTCAAAAAGTAAATTTATCTGAAAATATTGATCAGAATCTACTTTTTTAATGTTAATTGAAGGATTTAACTATTCGGCTGTGCTAAAATCATTGTACTGTTTTGATGGTAGGCCGAAGCGGTTATTGTTTCAAACCTTATGTCACAGAAGTGTAGCATGGATATATCAAAGGTGAGATTCAGGTTTGATTTCATTGCAGCCTCCCACTTGTACTCCTTATCTTTTTTCTCATGATGCTTTCCCTCCCTCTCAAAAAAGAAACTTGCATATTGCCTCGCTTTGCTTCCAATGGTCGGAGGTGATGAGAACAGCTGGATCGCAATAATGCAGAAAGTTCTTATATCTATAAATATGTATCTGAATGAAGCCTTCAGAGGACTAGAGGAAGGTTTGAACTCTTTGCTCTCTAAGACGTTGTTAGAAGTCTCTAAATGTGCGTTTAATTATGGTAGCTTAAGCCTCTCATTTCATGTTTCTGCAGAACACAGATCAACTGAAGTTATGAGATTGTTGGTTCCACCTGGGAAAGACCCTCCCTCTCCCTTAGGAGGTCAGTCCCTATCGTCATCTGTTGCCTCAAAGACAGCAGCAAGCATTCAGGAAGTGTTGGTTCCTAGGGTTTCTATGTTGATGGACTCTTGTTGTATTATGATTACCTATCCATATTCTATCCAGGTGAGGTGACTGTGTTGTCAAATATTTATGGTTTAGTCTTTTTCTTTTGGGATTTTAAGGGATTTTAAATTTTCA